TCCCACCACACATAAGCAGCAACCATACATCATCCCATGGAAAGATGTGTCTTTAGACCTCCCAGGCTAGGACAGATTTGGCAATAGGGGTTTTAAAATATGGGATGCAAAAAACCAATAGTCTCAGGTCTGAAATGGCAGGCAGGATGAATGCAGGTGGACCTTACTTCTCTGGGGAGATTTCAGGCTGATTACGAAGTGGAGCACGCGAAGCAAAGAAGGACCAGCTCAACCTCCTAAAACTGCCCAGGGATTTGTCTCTTTAGGCAGGACAATGAGGTCACCCCACAGAGGTTACAAGGGTTATTTTGAAGGGAAATGCTGTTGGTACACAAAGGATACCAGACATGAGACTGAAGAAGGCAGGCCGTTAGGCTGTTCCTCAACAGTTGTCTTGGGAAGGAACACCACTTCTGCCGATTTGGTAAGCCTTTGCGCTGCGTCGAACCAGTTGACAGATTCAGCACTTCAAGGAGAGCATTTGCTTGCTGGTCCCCCATTAAGCTGTACAGCCGCAGGAATAGGTCCAAGACAAAGGAAATGTTTTTCCTATGGTGCTGTCTTCAACACCTGCTGAGATTTCAGTATTGCATTCCTGAACCAAAGGCAGACGCTTTAGGAGATCCCACGCACCATAATGAATACGCAGTCACAGGGAAAGGGCAACAAGCACTTCATACGCCGTGACTTGCGTAGTACAGTCATTGTGCGTGGTGACTTCGGTACTTTGAAGCTTAAATCTCGGTGACAAGGAGGGGATGTGGGCTCTCTGCCTACAGAAGCACTTTGAAAAATGTTGCCCAATGCCTCAAAGATTATTCTTTAGAGGACTGGATGAGTCAGGGCCACCAGTGCTGACACTTTTCACCAGTATAAAGCCAGTTCAGACTGGCAGACCATCGTTTTGATGCAGAGAGCCTCCTGCTATTGTCTCAGTGTAATTTAGAAAACCCAGGCACTAACTTCAGCACTAATTAAAGTCTTATTCAATGACCAAAGGTATTATTTTGAAATAAACAGGGGACATCATAGAAGATGCTACATAGAAAACACCCTAAAGAGGCTTTAAGAATAGGATTACCTATTGAGACGGGGTGGATGGTACTTGTGGTGCTCCTGATGTGTCACTCTTGGACCTGCTCTGGTCTCGCCAGGACCACCACTACCCTTCATGAGCGCACCCTTGCCATAGAAACGGGAGAGAGGTTTTACAGTTAAACCTCTAGTGAAGCTTTACACAGAATAACTGAAATAAAGAGAAAATCCACACTCACCAACTGATAAAGCACTAAAACGCAATAAACTGTGATGTGCCAGTGGTAGGAATTAAAGGTGGCTGAAGAGAAAGAAAACATCTAAAAGGCAGGGAACAGAGCTAGGGGAAGGAGACAGATCCTCTACAAAGACAGCGGCAGGCAAATTAGAGAAAGAACACAGAGGCGGATGTTAGAAAAATATAATGTTCCTGTGGGTGTATCACTTATCAGCCATTCTTGCACATAAAACACATTTTTTCAACATTTAGAAAAGAAAAAGAATGACTGATCTGTAATTAACAGAAATAAAGGCCTGGCCTGGATCCTAGGCTAGAATAACATTCTTGCAAAAGTGAATTTTGCTGAAATATTGGCATTAGACAGGGCAGGGCTGCTGCAGGAAGAGGACAAATCCAGAATAATTGGACCAGTCTGCCCACTAAGAGCCACCCAGCTGGGGACCCCATTTAATAAGCCATTTAAATCCTATTTAACAAGCCATTTAACAACAATATGACCCAACTGAAGGGAAATCCTGGGGGAGCAGTTTTGCATATTTGATACGGGCACCTTTTGCATATCCTGCTGCCAGTGTTTCCCTCTACATCCTCCTGCCTGGGGCTCACTAAGGAAAGAAATCCTACAATGTAGCCACAGACGTGGTTTAGTTTTAAATAGGAATTGCCTTGACAGTCTCTCTTGTCCTCGTCTCTCGCTGGCACAAACCCACACTCCATAGGAAGAAGATGTCTAACTTTATAATTCCTCTGTGTGTCTCAGCAGCCTGCAGTCTCACAGGCCTATTTGTTTTGATGGTCATCAGCTTACATCAAGCCATGAAAGTCTCTTTCCTACCATCAACCTGCCTCCAAATTCGCTTATTCTGAATGACAAACTGCGACCCTAAGTGCTCACAGCTCTACATGACACCATCATCAGAGCAGCATCCTGTCTACAGCGCACCTTTAATTACCGTGCCAACTTTACCTCTTCTACCTCTTCCTCCTGTTTTCATCCCCAACCTGTGCCAGCCGATGCAAAGCCAGGAACGCGGGCAAAGCTCCCACCCCCTTAAGTGGGTTGATTCTTCAAAGCAACTAGAACAACAAAGGGCAGCAATTTATCAGGAAAATATCAGCTGTCAAGAAAAGCAAATGCAAATCATTTCTCTGCCGACTGTTCTTTTCACGACTGCTGTGCAATTGTCTTGTTGATTCCCACAGCTGGATGCTGTAGCTTTCCACTTGGCATATGTAATTGAAAGTGATGCTAGAACAACTTGAGCAAATTGAAATTGATTTCATCAATGGTGTATGTGTGTGTCAACGACACATATGCCTTTTTTTCCTCCCCTCCCATTGTCCACTAGCATGTTCTCCAGCCCAGCAGCTGTTGACATTTTGTTTGATGGCACATTTTCCCACTGGGAAATGATGCTTCCATTAAACCCAAGTGTTGCATGAGAAGGTACACAATTTGTCAACATTTTCACTAAAAATGATCAAAACAATTCAGACTTGACTGGTCTGGAATACTGCAATTTGATAAGGTCAAAATGCATCATCTTAGCTTCATCATTTAGATTTCTATGTTATTATAAAGTCATATAACTGAACACCAGCTGATACAGGTGGAAAGCTAAATATCTCAGTCTCATCAAAATATTTCACTGAAATACTAAGCAATGACAAAATGTGAGAGAGGAGAAACCTTTTCTAAAAAGAAGTTTCATAATTTGTGTCCATGGGAAATTTCACAGCTTTCAGTATTTGTTCTAATTGGAATCTCATTTGCTTCAATACTGCCCATGGAATAGGATTTCCATGTCCAACCAGATTGCAGCAGCCTGCAGTCCCAAGCATGGGATTACCAGACAGGGGCATTTGCAGAATGGATTGCTGAAGAAACCTCTCTTGTCGCCCTCACACATAGACATGAATCTTCATTGCTTCAAGGAAAAAGAAGAATGGGTGGACTTTATTGGTGGTTCTGGGCTTTGCTGCAACCAACTTGCCTGGTCACCGCTCTCATCCTTCTTTTGTCTCCTCATCCATCTCCTCCTCCACCCTTCCCTTTCCTGTCCCAAAAGCCACAGTCTGTACTTGATTGTTTTGCTCTTTTCCAGGTCAGAAGTGTGCTGGGGGTCCTACAACAGGGTTTGAGGTTGTCCTGCGTTTGTCTTAGCCCACGCAAGGTGAAGAGTGGGCAGTGTTGCACAACCACATGCTTGGTCAGCCATGCCTCAGGCTCAATGAGTGCCATGCATTTAACCGCACTCTTCTTGCATCAGCTTTCACTTCTAATTTGACCTTTCTAAGTCCATTTTGCAAATTCTCTACATCTTCAGAGGATGCTCTCTGACCCTCCAGAATATATTTACAGTTTCTCTAACAGCTTTACAAAACTTTAAAGAATTTTCATTTAAAATAGATTTATAGGCACCTACCTCCTGCTCCATTAACCCTTAGTGCCTCCATTTTCTTCACCACGTTTTGAGAGTCTGGGCAAATGAAAGCTCAGCATCTCTGTAGCTGTGGGCTTCTCCTAAGGCAGTGTCAAGAGTCTAACTACCTAGGGGGTCCTTCAAGAAATTTGTCAGGTATGAAAATTTTTCTTACAACTGATGTTTTAACATGTAATAGCTGTATTTAAAACAACAAGCAAACAAAACACCAATTGTTTTGGTGCACCTGAGCAAACAATTGAAGTATAACCTAGACCAAAAATTTTTAATTACAGTATTAAAAAAGGCATTATCAACTAAATACAGCAACTAGAGAAATTACAGCTCATGAATATGCAAATTACCTGGCAAAACCTTTCTGTAAATGCTTCAGTAATTTTCAGAGATAAACCTCGAACAAGCTGCCTCTTTCATTTACAGTTTTATTTGTTGATAAATATCCAGTGCTCTCTACCACATTTTTAGGAAATATTTTTAATGCAGTCATCATTTAAAAGCACTTCTTGTAGATGAAATGCATTAAATGTACCCGAGGTTCTCCTCCTGCATTAAAGGGCATTTTGAAGCCTGAAGTACAAGAATTTTTATTTCCTTTTAACATTCAACATAGTAAGTGAAGACAAGTCACCTCAGGCCTCAACGTCTAGCAGTCCATGATGCAGCAAAAGTCATAAAACCAAACACAAAATCAAACATCGAAATTTTATGGCCATCTAGGACAAAACTTGGGCAAGTAAAGACCTCAGGGAATTTTAAGAAGCTGCACTGATGTTGCCCCACAGATTACAGCGGGAGCTTCACCCTTCTGCTCAACTGAAAGAGTGGGAGAAACTGAAGATGGGGAATATCTAGTGTCACAGGTCTGCTCAAACGCTTTGCTAAGGCACTTCAGATTGTCCTGAAGATGAGCATCAGGCTGCTCTCAGCAAGGAGGCTTGCTTTGAAGATGTGAGATGATGGTACTGAAGTCAATGGGAACCCTTCTGTCACTTTGAAAGGAGACTGGTTCCTATCTGACCTACTCGCCAGGAAAGTCCCAGCACTGTGGTCAAGTGCCACATGTATTCTGCTACCTGAGAGGATACAGATAGTCTCCCCAAGATCAAATGTAGGAGATGGCATCTCCGCTCTCTCACCCACAACTGTAATCATCTCCGCTGTTGACACAAGATTCATTAAAGAAGGAATTAGAAAAATATGACCAATTCATATGTGTTCCAAAGAGAGCTCGCTTTGCAATCACTCGTCTTCATTTAACAAGCTCCTGTGCAGATCCTCACCTGCCTGCAGCACGGAAACCCGGTGCCACTGAAGGAGAACCACTTCTTGCCTCCCAGCCCGAGCCGCTTTCTTTTTAGCTGCAGGAGACTTGGTGGGGAAGTGAGAACAGCCAGAGTCTGACTCACGGCAACAGCCACGGAGAGCAAGCGTGGATCTGACCTCGATTTCACAACACGCATATTTTCGAAGGCCATGTGTGCTTCCACAGCATCGGCAGAGCTCCCTTGCCTCCTGTGTGCTGCCCGCCCTTTTGACAGACTAGCGCTTAGGCTGGGCTTTGCTATGCAGGGAATATTTAATCCATCTGGTATGAAAGCACAAGCAGATCGCCTAGCTCTCACCTACCAGCAGACTACACGGGTTTCTATTCTGATTGCTATAAGCAGAGAAACTTTAACATATCACCCAGATCTCACTTGTGGAAAAGGAGCTTTAGAAGAGTTAGTTTGCCTTAGCACAAGAGACTTCCCTAGCACGGTCCCAGGGCCTCCCTGCAAGCCACTCAAGGGTCTTTTGTTTTCACGCCTCCTCCGCTGCACCCCGAGCAGCCGTCACATACGTAATCCCAGCCTGAGACCCAACACATGTATTCACATCCAAGGGCCCTAAGGGCAGCCAAGGCCAGGCTGAAGGGCACGTGAATTATTTAGGTGGGATGCGTGTGATACTAGACTGTGGACCTTTATCGTCTCTAGGCTGTAAGCCTGCAGCCCAAGCTTGAATTTGAAAGGTGGTGTCACACGATTGATTATTTTGTTACACTCACAATCTTGTTTTATCAGTAAAGAGGAAGGACACCATACAAATAAATGTACGTGTATATATTCATATATATCCAAAAGGCCAAGTATTTGTTGTTAGAATAACTGAAGGCTTAAGACCCTAATCAGTATTAGTCCAGATCTATTTTTTTATTTTATTTACAGAAAAAGAATGAATATTAGCATGGCGAGAACTGTTATACACACACACTCAGTTTCTACCCTGTTTCCTGGTGCTAGCCTCTCCCTTTCCCCGTCTCTCTGGGTCCCAAGGACAGAGGTTGCATTCTGGCATTTGGGGGTGTGGGGATGTTCCAGTGAATCCCCATCACTTAGAGTCCTCCCCCAGC